ACAAAATGACTAACACTGATAAAAAAGAGTGGTAGGCCAAGACAAATTTGAAAGCGTATAATCTATCAGGGGTCAGCAAATTCCTGCCTGAGGGCCAAATCCAGCCACACACATTCCTTTACTTTATTGTCCAAGGCTTTTTTCAAAATAGAGACTATATGACCCCAAAAGCCAAAAACATTTACTATCTGGTCCTTTACTGAAAAAGTTTGCTGACACTTAATTCTAGTTCATCAATTCGCAGTGTGGTCCGTGGACCCCGGAGAACCCTGCAGGGGATCTGTGAGGTCAAAGCCATTCTCACAATGATACTCACACCATTGACCTTTTTCACTGTGTTGACATTTGCAGTGGAAGGACAAAAGCCGTGATGGGTGCAGCTGCCTGTGTCTTAGCACAAAGCAACACAGTGGACCATAATGTGATTACAGTCGTATCCCGCATCACCATAAGCTTACAGGAAAAGAAATGAACAGAAAGCCAGCCTCACTTAACTCAGGAGTTCTCAGCCTCGGCACTATTAACGTTTTGAGCCAGATGGTTCTTGGTTGTCAGGGGCTGTCCTGTGCTTCACAGGATGTCTGGCAGCATCTCTGACCTCTATCCCTTCCTCCCATTGCGCAGCTGTGACAACCAAAAAATGTCTCCAGACATTTTTTTTTAATTCCTCAGTTTTAACTTCCTATATGGTAAATATCAATAGATATAACTCAGATAAACAAAAACTCTTTGGAGTCTTCTATAATTTCTGAGATAGTAAAGGGGTACTGAGACCCAAAAGATTGAGGCCCGCTGGTCTATTTTGTTATTTACGGGGTATTTGTGATGTTTCCATCACTAAATCAGTAATAACTAAACGAAAAGGACCACATAACTGATGATGAAAAAGATGTAGGAAAAAGGAGTCAAAAAATCTGTGCAAGGGCCCAGGGGTGCAGCCAGTGAGGACACAGCTGCAGAGACAGGGAGGGCATGGGTGCCCTTGAGCAAGTAGTCTCCCTGCTGTGCCCCAGTTTCCTCCTCATAAAGTGACAGTGGTCATAGTACTTAGCTCATCATATTATTGCTATGAGGGTTACATGAACAAATACCAAAAAGTGTGTAGAATAGGCTCAGCACTTAGATTAAGTGCTCTCTCTGGGTCTGTTGTTATTATTTTAACAATGAATAATCAATTTATGTCAAGAGGGATGAGGTCAGGACTGCAGTTAAGACTTTACAGGTGCTGCTGACCCTCTTCCCAGTGGAATGACTGAAAGCAGAAAACACGCAGTCACTGGCCCCCGCAGACAAAACATCATGGAGCCAAGAAAGAAATCAGAGTCTTCTAACCCCCCTCTTACCCTAACATCACACTTTCTAATCCAAAAGCACATCTGTTACCCCTGTGAGGTACATGGACGTCCTCCAGGGTTTCAAAACAAACGATGTGAGGTTGGCTTGGTTTCATATGTAAGGTCCAGAGCCGTTATAATTTTTCTTGTTCCCGCACTGTGATTAATTTTCCCTTCAGCTCAGTTTGGCTGCCAGATCATCCAGAATTGTGTTGATTTCAGCAAACACCCACAAAGCCACTTTCACTTTTAGGAAGACATGTGCTTTCAGGAAAGCGTTTGCTAATTTTTACAGTGAGAAGAACTCTTACTAAAATGATAGGGACAGTTCTTAGATAAGCAAATGAAGGGTTTGTGGCATGGCTTGGAAAAAACGCTACAGAAGAATCTGATTCTGAAGGTGAGGAAGCTACTTGAAATTTGAAATTACATTTTCAGTAGTAAAGTGTCACATTTCCTGTATCCCAGCTCTTATATCTTCCTACCTCCCTCTATCAAGCAGAACAAATTTTAATATAATTATTTTTATGGCTACCGAGAATGCTGAGTTAGAGTCTAAAACCGAGGTGAATTTAGATGTCACCCCTTGAGATCTGGCCTGACTACACTGTTTAGTATTGACTCCCTCCCTAAGACTCCCCATTCTGCTTCCTTTTTCTTTAATGCACATTACTCCATCCAACACACTATGTATTTTACATATGTATTTTGTTTATTGTCTGTCTGCCTCTTTATGATGGCAAGGGTCTTTATCCTTTTCCTTCAGTGCTGTGTGCTGGACAGAGCTTCTAAAACAGAGCCTGGCACGTAGTAAGGACCCCCACATTAAGATTTTGTCTTTCAATGGAGAATGGAAAATGTCCTTTTGAGGCTTTGCATACTATGAATTCACACATGGAGGGAGCTCTTGCATGAATGAATGTGTCTCTGTTGCAAAAAACTATGAGACTCAAGAGCATTTAAGTGTCCTTCTGCAACCTGGTGATTGTATGAGTCAAAGGATAAAATTGGCTGCCAGAAACTTATTCCAAAGGTCATTATTTTTCAGTCATCTAATATTGTTATCCTTTAAAAAATAAATGTCTCTTCAATTATTGTCCAGCTTGTGGAAGCATGTACCTCTTCCCACATACCTAGACAGATCACTGTGCCCTAGTGGTTCTTAACAAATAACTATTAAGGGATTGATTGGCAAATGTACCCCCACTTCTCAAAGAGATGTGTTCCAGTGCAATTGTACATGGAATCTTTGAAAATCAAGTTAAGTATTAAAGACTAGGGAACTTCACTACTTAAATCTGTTCTGTAATAAAGATTTCTTGTAAAGCATAGAATTCCTTTGTAACTACATACTTTATTTGTAAGGTCATATTTTGGCATATAAGTTTTGTTTAAATCAGTGAATCAAGACATACACCCTGGGTATAAACTCTACAGGCTCAGTTCTATGCCAGGTTGATGACTGATGTATGAGAAGCAGTCTCTTTAGAAGACTTGACTGTAATTATAAATGAAAGGGGAGATTATGAGTTCCTTCAAGGCAGAGACCACCTCTCATTCACCTTTGTCATCTAGAATCCAGCTCAGGCATATTATAGGCATTCAGAACCTATTTAGTGATTGAATAAAATCTGAGAAAACAAATGACTGAATACAATCAAGTACTAACAAGATTTCTGAAAGGAGTCTATAATGCAGTAATGAAGTCTCAGTTCGGTTCATCCAGAAGAGGTCACTGGGAACTGCTTCATGGAGGGGACGGGGCAGGATTTATATCTTGAAAGAAATGAAGTTTTCTAGTGCTAGAACAAAGGATGGAAGGAAATTATTAACTGGAAAAGGAATTTAGACCTGTACACCTATCAGTTAAAAGAATTTTGAACATCAACTTCAGAAACATATAACTGTGTATGTAATTTTATTTATAATGACACATGTTCTATTACACTAACATGAACCATTTTTCAGTTCATAAAAGTAGGACTGAAAACAGGACTTAAAGATGAAGTAAGCCATATTTTAAACTATTTTATTTATATTCTGTACATTATTATTATATTGGGTAAAAATCTACATTTCAAATCACCTCCTTGATAATTTTGAATTCATTATTTTTTTTTGGCTAACTTCTAGTCATGTTGGATTAAATCATGTCATCTTGTAATATGTCTGATGAGGTTTAACAAGTATAGGAGACATGTCAGCTAAGCCATTTTCTTGTTATTCACTCACACCCACATTATTCATATTGTCCTTCATTTTCTGCTCCTTTGAAGGAAGCTATTTAAGTAACTTGTGAGAATTAATGTGATTAAGAGTAGATAATGTAATCTACTCACTCAAACAGGCCTATAAAGTCTGTAACATACTGAAAGATGCTTGAAGTGAACAAATGGGAGAGTGCCCTGTGGAGAGGAGATAACCTGGCACGCCAGCGTGATACGTGGCTGCATCTGACAGGTGGATTGGCTGAGAGTGCCAAAAGCCAGGCCTCCCTGTGCAGGTGGACTTGCTGCATCATAGGCATGGAGACTGGCCCGAGGAGGACACAAAGCTGGGATGGGTGGATGTGTGGGGTCACATCATTTATCGTGGTTGAGAGGTTTTGACCTGGAAAGATAAGCAAATGAGACTACTTACATATCTTTTAAGAAAGGAGTAATAAGAAACAAGTCTGTCCTGGAAATCAGGAAAAAAATTAAGCCCTCAAAGAAGCTGATTCAGAGACCCTATGAATGAAACCTCATTTAACTTCAGCTAATTTTCTAAACTCCCCATAGAATTGTCATCTGCTGGTCTTGAGACTGAATTTCTTCTAAATATAGACCTTTGTTCTTTTTTTTCTTCCAGTTTTACTGATGTATAATTGACAAATAAATGTAAGATATTTAAAATGTACAATGGGAGGGTTTGATATACATATACATTGTGAGAGCATTCCCCCTATTGAGTTAATTATTATCACCTCATATATTTACTCTTTTTCTTTTAGTGAGAGCATTTAAGTTCTATTCTCTTAGCAAATTTCAATTATAGAATACACCATTATCAGTTACAGTTACTGTATTACACATTAGATCCTCAGACCTTATTCATCCTATGTCTGAGTTTGTACCCTTTGACCAACCTCCCTATTGGTCAACCAACCATCAACCAACCTTCACTTCCCTATATTTCCCACTGCCCTCAGCCCCTATTTATATGAACCTGAATTTTTTTCCACATATAGGTGATACCACGTGATATTTGTCTTTCTCAGTCTAGCTTATTTCACTCAGCACAACACCACAACACCTTCCAGTTTCATCCGTGCTATTGTAAATGGCAGGATTTCCTTCCTGCTTATGAAATGATTATGGTTGAAGAACATTTCATTATATATAGATATACACATCACATCTTCTTTATCAGTTCCTCCATTGATGGACACATACGCAGTTTCCATGTCCTGGCTATTTTGAATAAGGCTACAGTGAACCTGAGGGCACAGGTATCTCCTGGAGGTAATGATTTCATTTCCTTTGAGTGAATCCCTGGAAATGAGATTGCTGGGTCATATGGTAGTTCTGCTTTTCACTTCTTGAGGAACCTCCACACTGTTTTCCATGGAGCTGCACCAGTTTACATTCCCACCAACAGCTGTACACTCTTCACTGTTCTTGGCAGGAGAGAGCCAGGAGCTGCCTGCCATTCCTGGTGAGTCAGCTGGCCAACATGGAACATTCGTTTCATCACATTCTGCTGCTGGAGATTAAGAGCATCACTGATGACTTCTCCTCCATCCTGGGCCATCAGAGCAAAGACATCTTCCGCATGAGCAACAGCTTCACTGCCATTGCAAAGCTCCTTACCCAGCAACTGGAAAGCACCAAGGCCAGACGTGGCAGGTGAGCGGGAGTTCCTGTGTGCCTTCAGAATCTGTTGTGAACCATGGTGGCATGGCACAGAGAGAGATGCTTCCTTTGGTAGGCATAAAACTTCCCCAAGCAAGCCATTATCTCAATACAGAGTAACTTCTGAATAAATGATGGCATTTGCCAGACCTAACGGACATATTTATTAAACCCTTTGAGGGCTTAATTTTTTCTGTAAAAACAAGAATTTAACAAAAAAAAATTCTAAAAATTACACAAAACATGGTAAAGAAATAAGAAGGTAATACAAATAATAATGTTTATATCCCGCATTTACTTAGTCAAGCAGCTTTTAACAATTGTTTATTTTGTACCAGGAACTCTGACAAAAGCTAGACATATATATAAAGATAAAATGTGTTCCTTGTACCCAAAGAGCTCACTGAGGCAATAAATATTTAAGTGGGTAATTAGGGAACAGTGGGAAAGTTATGCTTAATACAAGGCAGGTCAAGGAGTCTGGGGAATACAGAGATAGGGATGTCTTCTTCTGCATGGAATGGTGAGGAATGGGAAGAAGAGCTCAGAGAAGGCTTCCCAGAAGAGGTGATAGTTTGAATGAAGTCTTAAAAGATGACCAGATTGCACCAGGCTGATCTGGGCAGCATGTGAAAGCATGGCACATTCAATTTGTATGGCTAAGGTGAACATTGCAAGGAGAGCAGCAGCAGGTAATGCCAATGGAGTGGTAGGCAGGGACCAGGTGATGGTGGGCCTGACAGCTTCTTAAGGAGTTTGGATTTTACCCTGTAGGCTAGGAGGAGTCATTGTGGGGCTTTGTTCATGGCAGAATATGATCAGAATTCCATGTTCTGGGAAGCTCTGGCCCTAGTGTGGAGAATGTCAGGAAGAAAAGACCGGAATCAGGTCCAGTGAAGGATGGGCAGAAGGGAGTCCACAGGTGTTGGCTCTAAGGACATTACTGAAGATTGTGGTGAGTGAGCAGCCAGCGGTATGGGTAGGCAGAGAGCAGGATGCCTGGGGTTGAAGGGACAAAGTAAACACAGTGCACAAAAGCCCTTCAAGAAGTTTACCGAAAAAAATATAGAAGACCTTACAAGATAGAAGGAAGGGTTTTTGTGAAACCCTTGGAAAATTTTATGACCTCTAGAAGTTACAAAGTGCTTTCAAATACAAATCTCATTTGATCCTCATGACCACCTTACAAGGTAAGAAAGACAAGTATCATTAGTCCTATTTTATGGAAGAAGAAACAGAGGCTCAGATGGAGGATGAATGTCTTCCCAAGGTCACACAGTGACCAGGCGATAGAGGACAGACTTAAAGCCCCATCTTCACACTTTGGACCCTACACATTGGGAGGTATCTAACTCTGGAGAAGGGGCAGGGCCTATTTGAGACTAGTGTCAAGTTTTATGTTTTGGGAGTAAAAAATGATGCATACCATTTCCAGTATTAAATAAGGATTCCAAAAACATGCAAAGCCATCATAACAAAACAGTGAGTATTTAGTCAGAGAGGCCATGTTTTATGTACAGCATGGCACAGAGCCTGGAGGTCCCAAGAGAAATAAGACACTTTCCATGCCCTCGAAGTGTGGCACAGAGCCTGGAGGTCCCAAGAGACATAAGACACTTTCCATGCCCTCGAACTGTTCACAGATAGGTAGGTACGTGACAGAGTTTTGGTAGATGTGCACACAACAGTGTGGAGCATGAGATATGTGCTGACCAACAGCCAGGGAATTAAGGAATGGTTCACAGAGAGCATGAAATTTAAGTTCATTCCATACTTATTGGGTAGCTTGCATGTGCCAGGCATTTCTCAAGGTACTACATTAAGTTACACAGGATGAATGAGAGTCCCTCAGATAAGGGTAGAAAGGACACTCCAAATACAGAGAATAGCATGTGTGAAGACACAAGTGTTTAAGAATTCATGATCCAAGCCAAGGAAAAGCAATTGGTCCATCATGGCTGGAGCAAGTACATCAGGGTAGGATGGGAGAGTAAGCCGAAAAGTTAAATCAGAGGCAGATTAGCAGAGGCTTCGCATGCTGTGTTAGGAAGCGAGGAGTTTGTCCTTTAAGCAATAGGGAAGCTTGGGACAATTTTAATCCAGGAATAATCAGAGCCCCTAGCAGAGTGATCCACAGATAGTAGGCACTCAATAAACACTTCTTCACCAAAGGGCTGGGTGAATGAGGAAGTGGCTAATGTTGTGGACACTGAGTGGATTTGGCTGGAGCATCAGGATGGCAAAAAAGAGTAACCAGGATGCTACTGTTGAGGTCTTAACAAGAGGATCCTTCAACTGTGAGGGAGGCTGGATTAAGTTGATGGTGGGGAACGTAAGAAGTCATGGCAGATTATCATAGTGAGAGAATGCAGAATTATGAGAAATTGATCACTGATGGGAGGTGGGTGAGGAATGGGGGTGGAGGGTGAATAAAACCCAAAGATGTCTAGCTTGATACACACAGAAGATGATTCCAATGACCAAGAAAAGTGGCAGCTGGAGGGGAGCCCAGCTGGGAGGGTCTCTTACCCTACTGTACACAGAGGGTATTACTTGACCAGTATGGTCACAGAAGTCAACAATAGCCATTTATCTGAGGGAGGCTGATGTAATGCCCTTTCCTTGCAACACCACAGTTTTAGCTCAGCATATAAAAATCCATTGTTGCCTGGTTCCATGTATAAATATCTATAAACCAGGGTTTCTACCTTTGGTACTGCAAAAATTTGAGCTCAATAATTCTTGGTTGCTGGGTTGTTCTGTGCACTATGGAATATTTACCAGAATTCCTGTCCTCTACCCATTAGATTCTAGTAGCAGCCCCCTCGGTCTCAGTTGTAACAACCAAAAATGTGTCCACACATTGTTAAATGTCCCCTAAAAGATAAAAATAATCCCCACTAAAGAACCACTGCTATATACATATTCCACTCAAAAATAGCCTTTTCATAGACCCATGACCTACCTAGCAACAGACTAAACATGACAGCATCCAGCAATCCAAGGCCAGAAATATGAACAGATGATTTTCATTTGTATACAAGTCACTGCTGGCCAATTTTCAAGATGTGATTTCAGAAATTTGGTATAGAGCCTGTGCAGCAGGTGTCTGGGGGAGCCGTTCTGCATTCTGTGCACTGCCAGCCTGCATGTTTCTTCTTCCTTGATAACTGACATGTGCATCAGATGTGAAAGCTTAGGCATGTGTTCTGGCCAGCAGTCCAGCCATTCTCTCTTGCCTCTACAAATGCAAATTACAAGAGGCCAATTGGCATCTGTGAGATTATATGTGTGAAAAAGGCTTATATAAAACATGTTTATATAAAACATGTTAAGCAAGGGTGCTTCATTAGGTATTCTAATAAGAAAATTGATCCTTAATAAGTAGCCTCCCAATACAATTAGCAATAAACAATTCCCCTGTGAAAAGAAGAATTTAAGAGATATGTAGTGAGGAGGAAAAAATTAGGTCTCACTATCAAAATATGAGTCTATATGTATTAGAAGACATTTAAATTACTCCTCCCTTTGTTATTTGTCTGGGAAAATAGAAAATAAAGAAAAATTAAATGTGAAGAGATAAAAAGGTCACACTCACCACCCCCACCATCTCCTTCCCCACCACCTCAACCTCTCAATTCAAAACACTTCTTTCAGTTCAACCCTCACTGTCAATCTCCTTCTATTGTTATTATTCAGTGAGAACCTCAAAATGCTGCTGTGAATAGCCAGCCCTTTGTATTAGCTGCTCATCCTCTCTGGATCGTTGCTAAGGCCTCCTCCCAACATGTTTTCCCTGAATAGCCTTCACTGTGACCATCTAGCTTCAGTAATTTCAATCTGTGCCCCTCAAAGCAGAAAGGTCCATACTTTTGTCTAAATCAGGCAGCAAAGGCTGATCCTTACAATTCAAGGGGAAATGAATAAGTGAAGAAAGCCTGAAAGAAAATTAAAGATGATAAAATTCAAACAGATGTCATCTAATTTACAAATCTGACAGATGGTCCAGTAGGCCAAATTTCAGACTTCAGGCCAAAACTACAAGATTATCAAAAGAAAAACAATTAGCCTCCCAGGGAGAATGAAAAACAAAGCAGACAGGAGCCCTTTTGTGCCAAATGACTCTGAATTAATTGGATGGGTTTTATTAGATGCACCAGGTAAGCATATTTGCACTTTTCTTGTTCCTGTGGTTTAGAAAGAATGTTTATGTCCAAATAATAAACCAACAGGAGCTAAATAACAGGACAGTCAAGCAAAACATTATTTTAATTAATTCTGGAGAAGCAAAAGGGGATAACAGCAATTGTGAACTGAAAAAGAAGGTGTCAGGACTAGAGGAAAGTTGTATGTCTTTGGAAACTGTAGCAGCTCTAAATAGCCTTCTGAGCAGCCTCCAACCGAGGAACGGTTTGCATGCCAGGACCCAGGGGAAGCTGGGGAAGGAGAGGGCAAGCTTCTGGCAACTGTCTGTCTGCTGAGCAGCCAAGTGTTGTTCAACTACAAGACACCTTTGCCGCATGCATGTGGTGCCAGGGAGGCTTCTCCAATCAGGCTCCATCAGAACTGGGACAAGCTGTCACAGGTGGTCTTAGGAGGAGGTGAGGCTTAGGCCCCAACTGGGATGGAACCTTTGAGGGATAGAAACTGTGGAAAGAATTCCCTCAGCAACAGCTTTCAAACCCTAGCTAAAGCCATCAGTTGTGTGGCGCAAAAGTTGCTTATGTGGAAAATTTTAACACAAAGCTTTCCCAAACCTTTGGCTTGATTCAGTGGATGGTGGTGAGTGTTTATTCTTTGTTTTTAAAAACCAGGCCTCAAAAAGAGGAGAATGAATGGTAAATCATTGTGTAGGTGTAAATCTGATTTCACTATAAATGCAAGGAATGACACAATGAAGGGAAGGAAAGAAAATGGCAGTGTGTGGGGGCGAGGGGGTGCATAGAGGGGCATGAGAGGAAAATAGAATAAGGTTATGTTCACAGAAGAAAGAC